TGACAACTCTGTAAAACCACTTAGAGAGGACTATAAAGCATCGTGAAGCAGTATATAAGTCTAAATACTATTGCTATTGCTTAGTGGTTTAAGAAATGTACATTATTTATTTTATTTAGTTATTCAATGTATTTACTGCCCATCTCGATTCAAGAGAACTCTGGGCACCTAATATGATTTTATGAAACCATAAAACATAAATATTTCTTAATACAATAAAATAAAAGTACAATCAAGAGTGAAATTACTTTTAAAAGTTGGGAGTATTATAAAAATCAATAGTTTAATCTCAGTTTTTAACATGAAAAATGAGGATTTTTGTGTTAACTATAAGCCATGTGTTTCTTGTTTTTAATTATTATTTATTAATTTTATATGGATTAATTAATTGCACATCAATTAGAATCTATACAAACAAAGCAGTATATAATTATATTGAGCAAATAAATATAATATATAATAAAAGTGTTTCTTTAAGTCTAGGAATGCAGCATTAGGATCCATTACAATGGATAACAATGGGCTAATAACTATGACTATTTTTAAAAAAAAAAAAAAACTGCTGTGAATAGTAGAGATATTACCTATTAATAACTAATACTAGTATTGTTTAAAACATCCTGTTAATCTTCATTGAAAGATGAATGTACCAAGGATGAATCTTCTGGTGAAGGAAGACAATATTTTATAAAATTGATTATGTAATACTTTGTATCTTACATAAAGCTGCTGAGAACTAGAAAAGGTTAAGGTTAACATTTTGTAATTAGCCAAAATTACAAAAAACAAGCCCAATCTTCATCAAAATTCAATTGACCACGATATGCTTTTAACCTTAACAGGAAAGTTATCATTTTAGCTACTATATAGTGGGTTTTTTTTTTACAGCTCAGATCTAATAGCCTTATCTTGTTCATTTTGCAGTAGCCATGCAAAGTACCTAAGTAAGAAAGTCAAAAGGGAAAGTATTATGATATATTCTTTTAAAAATCCCAAACAAAAAACTATCTGCAATATGCATCACAAAAACTATCAATATCTAGGCCTCTGACAAAGGATTATGGAATCCTCAGTATCCACCATTTTTGCTGAATGTGCACAGAAGACTTGATCCTTTCTACTGTTTTTCCCTTTATGTACCGTCCTCAAACCTCTCTCAAACTTCTTGTCTACCTTGTAATCACATTACATAAGCACATTTCTACTTGTTAATTATAAAAAACTAATTTAGTCAAATATGGAGACAAGATACAACATAGTTCACGTTCTTCTCTATTTTGAATCACGTTTTTCCAAATTCAAGTTCACTTAGCTTCATTGTAAGCGTTTCTCAAAAAAAAAAAGTTCTGGCATGACCATGATTGTTATAAATTCCACATTTTGCTATGATCTAAACAGAAATCTATGCAGTAAAGCCATCTGATAAAATATACAACAACCTACTACTTCATAAGATAGAAAAATGTGGATTAGACAGCATCACCACCAGATGGATTTATAACTGGATAACCAACCGTACTCAATGTGTAGTCCTCAATAGAACTGCATCTACATGGAAGTATGCAGTGGGGTTTCCCAAGATTCTGTTTTAGGCTCAGTACTCTTCACCATATTCATCAATGATTTGGACAAGGGGATAGATGGGGAACTCATCAAATTTTCATATGACACCAAGCTAGCAGGAATAGCCAACATTCCAGGAGATACAGAAGGATCTTGACAAACTTGAACATTGGGCACTAACAAAATGTAATTCAATGGTGAAAAAAGTAAGGTTCTACAAGAACTATAGGCAAGGAAAGCAAAATGTACTGGTACAGTATATGTGGTACCTTGCTCAATAGTAGTAACTGTGAAAGGGATCTTGGAGTCCATTTAATTATGAGCCAGCAGTGTGCTGCAGCTGCCAAAAATGAACACAGTTCAAGATGCATTAACAGAGGGATAGAATCAAGATCATGTGAAATGTTAATAACACTTTATAATGCTTTGGTAAAGCCACAATTGGAATACTGCATCNGCTGATGTTTCATTTAAACTTATGTTTGTGTCTGTATATATAATGTGTATTAGTTGTATATCAATGATGCCATATGCTAAATAAATAAACTTTAATATGTTAATATGTAGAATTTTCCGTAAGAGCATCTTACCATTGTTGTTTCTGCAATGGATCCAAAACTATTAATGAAGATGTTGCATGTAACATTTACTGGAGGCCCTATAAAACATTAAGGCATGAATAAATTAGTGTCTTTATGAAAATGAAATTTGTACTATTTACAAAATTTATGAAATGGCTAAATTTCAGTGGAAAAGAAAAATATTTTTAAGGATATGGTTTGAATAATGACTATTATACTGGCATGGTAATCATGTGTCTATATTGGATTGATGCTGGTAATTCTTGAAATCCATTAGTAATTGACCAAGCTTCTAGATCTATTGTTTTTAAACAATAAAGAATTCATGATAGTTGAATCAAATATTTGAATGCTTTTGAAAGATAGTTGATTTTACTTTGAGGGATACAATAACCAGGAGTGTCAAACTCAAGGCCTGGGGGCTGGATCCGGCCCACAGGGTACTTAGATCTGGCCTGCAGGGCCACGCTGGAAACAGTTACGGACCAGCCCGCAGTGCCTCTACTAGTAAAAATAGAGCCCAGGAGGGCTGCATGAGGCCCTCATGAGCTTCGTCTTTGCTGGCAGAGATTATCAGGAGGCCATCACAGCTGAAAAAGAGAACAAAGTGCGTGGGCTTCTTCCAACAGCTGAGGAAGTGGAGGCTTCCAACAGTGAAAGCTTTCGCTCCTCTTTCTTCCTCGGCTGTTAGAAGACACCCCCGTGCTTCGTTCTCTCCCCCTAATTCCCCCCCCCCACTGCAAGCCAGACAGCTGTCAAAGAGAACTAAGTCCGGGGGCTTTTTCCAACAGCCAAAGCCTTCGCTCCTCTTCCTTCCTTGGCTGTTGGAAGAAGCCCCCGTGCTTCGTTCTCTTTGACAATTGCTTGCAATGGGGTGGGGAGAAATCAGGGGGAGAGAAAGGTTGGGGGGACCGACCAGGGACAGGCCAGGGACTGTACTAGTATGGAGGCATGATCAGGCTGCCATTGCCAATGATACAGAAAGATACGGCCAATTTCTGCTACAGGTATACCCTTACTGGTCCATACCGGATGAAACCCACCTCTGCATATGTCCCAACATGAGTGATGTTGAGCTGGCCATGCCCACCCTGGCCACACCCACCCAGGCCCCCAAACACAACCCTGATGTGGACCTCAATGAAATCGAGTTTGACACCCCTGCAATAGACAGTACAGCACTACAGCACAATGACTAAAAGTGACTTTATTTCACAATGCTATTCCTCCAATTCAAAACCTGATTACATCATAAGTCAGTGTTGTAACCCAGCAGGATCCAGTTGAGCTGCTGATGGACTCGGATAGTGAGGAATCATATGAGTCTGCCATGAAAGATATGGAGGATCCTGTGCAGGATTCAGACTCAGAGCTGGGACCAGAGAGGCTGGTTGGCCACCAGGAGGTGCCTGAGGCATGGAGCAGTGGGGAAGATCAAAGGGAGTTTGTCCCTGATGCTCAATTGAGATGGGCCGAGAAACGCAAGCAGCAACTCCATAGGCAGTCTCATAGAAGATAATTACGCACAGGTGGTTGTGGATGGGCCCCTCCCAAGAGAGTTTATAATTGAGGCATTGGGAGGGGACATTTGCAGGAAACAACCGTTCGAACTAGTATTGAAGAAATCTGTCTGTATTGATACTGATATGTATTGGTCGTGTCATTTGGATTATCTGTGTTACTTCATTTGAACTTTCTGGGTTGCTGCCAAGCGATTATCTTGAACGTGAATTGCCAGGGCCCACAACCAAAGGATTTGTTATCTCATTAATTAAATATTGGCAAACAGCCAAGCCTGTGTTCTGGTTTATTCACAGGCCGGGTGGTGGTGGTGTCAGAAGAGTTTGTTTACTGCCCAAACAAGAAAAATTAACATTAAGCCACCATTGAACAGCTCCGTGCCAAAAACGCTCAATTTGCACAGTAGGTGGCCTTGCTGGCTGGCCAGATAGCTCAGCTTCAAGGGCATGCTATCTCCTCCCCCTCCCAGCCTCAGAGGAAATGTCCAGTTGCAGTGCCGGATAAGTTTGATGGCAACCAAGCCATGTTTCCAGCTTTCTTGGGACAATGCCAGCTCTTTATCTGTCTTAGAGCGGAGGACTTTCCCACTGACTGGGCTAAAGTGGGGTTTATCATCATCTTACTTTCTGGCTCCACAGCTTGTTGGGCGACTCCTTTGTTGGCTCAGGCTAGTCCTCTGC